GCTCTAGTCTCCTGTGATGACAGAAATACCTAGTTATATATCTCTTTTAAACAGTTTTCTCCCTCCTCTGTTTCAGTGCAGTATACATTATTGAACCGAAGATGATCTTTCCATCTCTCTAGTCCTTCCCAGAAGTATTATTAGTTCTCCAATTTATACATCGTAATTTTGGCATTCTCAAGGAACTGAAATTATGTTTCTCAAAAATGTTCTTGGAGTTTGGGGGACAAAAAGTATTTTAGAGGGGCAAGATCAGTATAGAGATTCTGAGCAAAACTATTGTAGACAATCTTTGCTACCCTCCAAGAGCAGATGTTTTGATTTGATGGGGGGGAAATTCCTTAATCCTCAATGCTGCGTTCCTGACCTTTTCCTCACCTGTATGGTTTTCCGTTTTGTTTTGCTTTTTCTTTTTTGCAGAATCATCCTACCATATACCATGCAGTCCCAAGTGACCCCTCACGGCCTGAGGACTGACCACTAGGAGGGTAGAAATTCCATATTCACTTTAAGGGGCACAGCACAGCCTCTAAAAGGCGACAAAGTTGTCTTGCTGTATGCACCACCGTTTAATTCTGTTTTCTTAAAACTTCATAATAAGCCTCCATGATCATTCTTTGTCCTTGGTGAAAATCTGTCAAGATTACCCTGAGCCTTCCCATAGAAGTGACCATAACCATCTTCAATTGACCTCTGCCTTGAACTTAATTGGCCCAGAAAATCCCCTTAAAACCTCTAGTTCTCTGGGACCTTGCTCTGTGGATTGTATTGGTTTCACTAAAATTGTTTTCATTAGCTTTTTGTTTTTTTTTAAAGACTGATAAAAGCTAGCTCTTTGAGCTCAGTTTTCGTTTTTTTTTTTTTTTAAGGGCATCCTGACTAGCCTAAAGGAAAAATTTTACTAAGAGAACGTGTCCGTTTGCAGCCATCCACTGATTGCAGAGACGTGTTTGAACAAGTTTTGTTGAAATAAATACATGCATGTTTGCAATACCGTTAGCAACACTCTTTACTTGAGCAAATCTCTTACTTTGTGAAAAGTCAGTGGAAACAAAAGATAGTAGTAGTAGTTGTTTCTTTTTAACCATATGCATGTTATTTGGGATAAACTCTTAACATATTTGTAAGGTTTGTTTGTTTGTTTTAAAAGTAGTTCTGAATAGCCAACCAAAATAATTAATTGTTAATGTGGTTAAAAATACACTTGAATTACTATATCCAAGTTGAATACAACTTGAATTACGGTATTTATATATACAACTGGATAGTTTTACGTAATAAAATGGGTAATAATTGAAAATGTTTCTTGAGTGTAACTATTCTAGATTTGTTTATTAAACAATTATTTGAAAACAAAAGCAAATCTGTGCCACCAAATTGATAATGTTGTTGTTAGCTGCCATCGAGTCGTCTGTTACTTATAGTGACCCTATAAACAACAGATCTGAATATTGGCCCATCTCGCCTGTCCTTACAATCTTTTTTTTTTTTTAGTTTCTATTTTTTAAATTTATTATTAATTTCAGTGAAAATTTACAGAGGCTTTGGATTTCCATTCATTCATTCATTGTTGCACTTTTCTCCTCCCAAGCTTCCCTCCCCCTCCCCCAGTACACTACCCTCTTGGAAAAGTAAAAGTAAAATTCTTTCATTGTTTTACAAACCCTCTCCCAGGTCCACTCCACTATGCAGCCTTCACTCTGGACTCTTGTCATGATAAAAATACCTAATCACATATTCCTTTTAAACTGTTTTCTCCCTCTGTTTCAATGCAGTATACATGTTGAACCCATCTTTCTCAGTCTCCCCCAACCCCGAGGTCAGACCTGTTTTACAACAGTGGGACCATGCAGTATTTGTCCTTTTGTGACTGAGATAGTTCACTCAGCATAATGTCCTCCAGGGTCACCCATTTAGAATAATATTGCATGAGTTCCTTGTTTTTCAATGCAGTGTAGTATTCCATTGTGTGAATATACCACAGCTTCTCTATCTGTCCTTACAATCTTAACAGACCTGAGCTCATTGTTAAAGTCACTCTTTTTATCCATCTTGTTGGGATCTTACTGTCTTTCACTGACCTTCTATCTGTGCCAGCTTGCTCTTTGTTTTACAGATACTAATTTTTAACAATTGCAAAAAATTATTAAAATATTTTTCATGAAATACAGGAGTTTGCTAATGCTGTTTCATTTAACATTTCTTTCCTGATATTATGTACTGTGTAATCATACTGATTTTGATGAGTATTATTATTATTAGTAGTAGTAGTATTAGAATGTAATTAAAGTTGTTTTTTTTCTATATTTTATTAATTTTCATAAACATTTACAGAGATTTTGGGTTTCCATTCATTCATTGTTGCAGTATTCTCTCTACCCTTCTCCCAGTTTGTTCTTGTCCAAATGCCACAGTGCTTGTCAAAGCCAGTTCTGATTAATCTTCTTTGTCAGTGTGTCCTT